TAACGACCTGTTGTAAACGTACTTAATTATAAAAGGAGGCATTTTGCCTCCTTTAACATGGATACATCGTCGTACTTAGTTGAAAACCGGGAAAAGGGGGCATTTTGCTTCCTTTTATCGCGAAAGGGTTAATAGCTGTGTGGTTTATGCGGAAGACCTTCACTGCTAGCGACACCGTGCCGTAACGAAGGTGGCCCTCTTTGCTTCGCGTAGCAAGGAAGACCGCCCCCGCAACACGAGTGTTGGCCGGAATAGCCTTGGCGCCGAGCGTGCGTGCCATTTTCAGTTGTTAGTTTGGCGAGTTCTGTTGTGAAGAATTAGTGTCTACCGCCATCCATTTTACTTGATCAGCAATAACCCTAAACGCGAAAAGTTTTGTCCAACCGTATGATTGTAACTATTTGAGTGAACCACAAAAAAAAACGAAATAGGCATAAATTCGTGGGACAGAGGAAGTAAACGCGATATAAGCACATCATCACCAAGGGAGAAAATTTTGCGATTATTTCGATGAGTACTGGAGCGATTTTGGGACAGTTCAGGACAATAATGCGATATGAAGCACTAGTTAAGTGGAATAATGTGATCTCGAATTGGCTGGAACTGCACATTTCATATGCCCTGTGTTGCTTCTATTGGATTGGAATTGTACTATGGCCCTGTAAATTTACAAAATCATCTGCTTTTCTGTGATGCTAGTGAGCTTTGTAAGTTTTGGTAGAACGAGACTTACAAATTTAAACGCGAAAGACAAGGAAATGCACCAGATGCTCCAACGTAAGACCGTATAACTCCGACTTTATGAAAAAGTTAATATTTCGCTTCGTTGAAACAGCCTGTGGGTCGGTATGCAGGATGAAAATTGACTTCCATCACTTACATCGCATTGATGAAGCGCCTTATGTGGAATCGCTCGCACGCTGATTTGTTCACAACAGGTGGAATTTTGTGAGCGTAAAGTTGATGCATTGAACTCATTGCTTCTAAAACAGGTTCCCAAGAGTGGCGAGTCCGGAGCAGGGGGAAGCACTAAGGAGCACCGAAGCAAAGAACGGCCGGTATGTAACGCGCTGGTATCATACGGATAAGTACACTTCAACTTCAGGTAGATCTAAAAAAGATGTGAGATAAGACCACCGAGCTATCCGTGAATATAACAAGCTGACCCCCACGCGAACTTCAAAACATATTTGCTTTGCAAGAAGATGGATGAACAAGCAGCTCCTGCAACCTACACTATCGCTCCAGTTCCACCGAACGAGTACTTGTCCGAACGAGAAGCAGAAGGAGCCATCCACCAGTGGACTAGAGCGCACAACTACAACGTGTCACGTCAGAAGGTTGAGAAGAACAAGAAGGGGAAATTCGCTACAGACTTTTCGCCTGTGACCGCTCGGGGAAACCCAAAAACACAAGAAAAATAGCGGAGAGTGACAGGAAACGACCTTTACGACGAACTAAGAGAGACGGGTGTCCAATGCGCATTAGCATCGTAGCTGTAGACCCGGACAACACAGCTGGTCCTTGGCGGATTGTACATATCTAGAGACGGAAGCAGTGCACACAACCACCCTCCTTCGAGTGACGTACGTGTTCACGTAGCGCACCGCCAGCGAGCTGCACGGAAGACAACAGCAACTTCAGTTTCAACGGGCGACTTAGTGGAGGTACGGACCATGGCCGGCGTCTCGACGTCTCGCATCTACGCTACTATGCTCATCCAGGAAGAGTCTACGATGTTGATCCCCAAGGACATCGCCAACGCGAAGGCTGCAACTCGCTCTAAACTGCTTGCAAACAGAACAAGCAACGAAGCTCTGTTCAAGATGTTGGACGATAAAGGGTTCTACTACTGCTACGAGATCGATCCGGAGTCCAACCGCCTCATCTATTTGATGTGGGCACATTCTGCAACCACGAAGCTGAGCCGAGACTTCATGGATCTTTTGATCCTAGATTGTACCTACA